AAGACCAAGATGGTGTGGCCTTTTGTGTGGTCGCAGTCTCCTTTCGTTGCATATCAGAGTTTGAGCTAGTGACTAACCAATGGCTGGAGATTTACAGCTGGATTACAATGCTACCTTATATAACAAGGCAATGAAATCATTTCATTACCTACGGCATAGAGCTTTGCGCTGATGTGGTTCATTCACAGCCCACCAGGAAAGCATAACAGAAGATACTAGGAGAATTTCGTCACGACTAAGGAGCCAACAATAATTTAATCATCCAGGATAACTGAACATTTAATAGAATAAAACAACAAACCATTGTGCGTCTAGATTGAACAAGCTTAAACCGACTAATAGAACCTACGACAGCATTCAGCAGAACCACATCGAGATAGAAATAACTTAATGAGGTAATTCCTAAAATTAGTTGACCAACGAAGGAGTACAGACATTTAATACAGTCTGCATTATAGTTAACGACTTGCCGTGAGTACCCAATTAAAATCAAAACAAAGAATTATTTAATAATACATACGATAAGTTACATTTAAATAAACCTACTTTTTCCTGGCACAAGTGTTCATTGGCTTGATCGGCAGCCCGACGCAGCTGTTTTGCAACAAGATGAGCCTCATCCAACTCGCGTTGAAAGGCCTCCAATAGTTGCACGTGCTCATCTCGAGAAATAAAGTCACTCTTCAACGTCTGCCGAAGTGTCTCCTGCTCAGAAATTGGAACAGAATTTGCCAACTGGGCTGCAAGCTGGTCGTTTCTTTCCTAAACCAGAGAATGGCAGAGAATGGACAAAAATGAGGACTCAACTTTAGGGACTCAATGATTAACACAAAGCATTCAAATCTGAGCAATCTATAATCTGCACCTAGGCTGGTATCAAAACGCATCACGGCCTGCATCCCAATCTGTTGTAAAAGCTCTTAAATATGGATTTGATGCGAAAGTAAAAGTTACGATGTCATAAAAAACTTGATTTTTTTTTAAGGGATTTGACAAATTTCTAATCACACCTACCTGTATTTCATATATAAGTAAGCTTTTGCATTTATCCATTTATTAGCCGTTCATTTCATTATCGCCAAGTACTAACATGGCTTAAGCAGTAAAGAATATTAATCTACTAAAAGCTCTCTAACACTGAAGTTCTAATAAGGCAAAACAATGAATTTGATGCACACATTAAATATTTAATAGTTTTCCATAATTTGTTAGCAAATTTATTTGAATACATACTTTGTTATTTAGCCGAAATCAGACGTCGCATCACTACAGATTA